GATATGAAACAGCTACATGTTGCTTTATCTCTGAGCAAAGTCTTATAAATTTTTCTATATAATAAGTATCACCAGTGCGTCTGAAAGTCTTGAATGCCACCATTTTTTGTTTGAGGGTTCTAATGATATGGCTGTTGTACCAAGGAGGATACCTATTATTATAAGATATTCTAACTTTAGAAACACAACAATCAAGAATTCTATAGAACTCAAAATAGAAATATTCACAAGTTAAATCAACGTCACTAAAATTTTCCAAATCGCCCCAGCTAATATTCACAATCATTTCATAGAGCAGCTGAAAGTCAGCTTTCCTAAAATTATATGAACCTTTAAAGTCGCTATGCAACACGTTATTATGTTTGGTGGAAGGAAAATGACTCACAGTGACAATCAATGCAGGATGATGGGGATCCTCACACACTAACGCATCATCAGCATGTTCAACATAGCAAATGGCATTGCTCCAAATTAAATCTAGCAAATTTCCACTGTCATTGTGTATGTAATTATACTGAATGACATTGAAAAATCTTGCTAAAACATTTAAAGTGTTTATGTAACTATTTGAGATACTATGTTCAAGATAATCAGCATATGATGTTATATTAAAGTCCCCAACAATGAAAATACTGCCAGTATGTAAAAACGCTAGACTATGTATCGCTTCCAACAAGATTTCATAGTCGGTAACGGTTACCTGAGGAGGTATGTACAGATTAATCACATATATTTTGGAGTAATGGACACTGACTTTAATTACAAAAATATCTATCTTTGGACTGACCTGGTTGAAAGGTGGGTACACATATATATATCAATGGCAGATGGCTTATATACACTCCTAACAGCAACAGCCACTCCTCCACCTTTCCTCAAATTCACTGCTGAAAACTTACGATCAGATCTGTACACTGAATAATTATCCGGAAAAACCTCACAATCATTGATATCAGTATCAAGCCACGTTTCTGTCAGTGTTATCAAAGAGTAATAGTCTTGTTGAGAAATAGAGTTGAATATTTCATTAGTTTTAGAACGCAAACCACGAATGTTTTGATAATAAATAATAAAGTCTTTATCTCTATCACCATCATGATCATGACTGTCTAGGCCTGAAGCAGTAGCTAGTTGCTATTTGACAGCGAGTAAGTCTCTTCTCAGTTTTTCTGTAGCATTCGTGAAGGCAGCCTCAGCCTCATCCTCGATTACAACATAACTTGTAGATGTTTAAAGTATTTAACTTTAACGATCTGGCTATAAATTAACACATTATTTATGTATATGAACACCTACATAATATGTGTATAATATGTCTATAAAGATAGTAATTTTAAGTAGACACTAATGTATTTCATTTCAAATCACAGAGCTTAACTTAAATTCACTTAACTATACGCTTATTTCTACTTCCCCAATGTAATTAATCTATCTGACTAACCTATACATATTGTAATCAAAATATATGTAATCATTATAATGAATGTAATACGAGTAGTGATAATTAAATGCTATGTTTAAATGTTATAAGCTTTAATCACACCCTTTGCGAAGGTAGTGGGGTCCTCTACTAATGGCCGATTATAAAAATTAGCGAACGTTTCTGATTTCTCGGACCATCCTGCTGCACTTCTTATTGCTGAGATGTCTACCCCTGCCCTATTTGCAGCGGATGTGGAAGCATGTCTGACTGAATAACTGGTGTACAGAGAAACATCAATTCCAGCATTTTTCATAACCTACTTATGGTTTGTGAAGTAGCGGCATGATGTGGCCTTTTATGTGTAAGTAATAAAAAATCGGTATCCGGCACTCTTAACTCTTTTGTTTTCTCAATATAGAGTTTCAAAACTGTAGCCACACAGAGCTCAGGTTTTTTTTTTAAAAATGGTAATATTAATATAGGCTGTTTCATTTTGGGATTAGATGTTTTAATCTTATCGGTAATGAGGATCTCAGCTCTATCAGCATACCATACTATATTTGATATTCTGATTTGAGAGATAGTCTGATTCCTGTGGGCCGTTAATAAGCTAACTAGCATAACTAATTTGTATGTTAATTTTTGTAGGTTTAAACCTTCCAAAGGGTACCATTTCGCTAAGAATTCTAAGACTATTTGAGGATCCCACGTTGATGTATACTTTGCTCTAGGCGTGTTCATTTTATAAACTCCCTTAAGGTATCTCTTAATAATAGGTTGGTCTTTACTATTAATATTAAGCACTAAAGATAAACCCGATCTACAATAATTAATTGTAGAATAAGAGCTTCCAGTTCTCATCTGTCCATTAAAAAATTCGATCAACTTTTTCAATTCGTAATCATAAGGACTGCTCTGAATTTTTATATTATAATCCCACCACTTCTTATAGCAGTGGGTGTATTGCCTTAAGGTGTTATTTGCTAATTATGCTAACAACGTGTCAATGCCTGACTCTGGATATTCTTTTAATATGAATGCTCTCCTGATAAAATCGCCGCCCCCAGGGAAATTTTCCTCCATAGCGGGTGTTCTTTTCTGAAGGGAGATAAAAGTAAATTTTTACTAGGCTTTAACTCAATAAGATCGCTTATAATAAGTTTTTTAAACACGGGGTACCACGGTTGTGCTGTCCAAATTGGCACAACCAGGATACCTTTTGCCTTGTCCATAATTATCTTCTCCAGGACTTTATGGATCATTGGAAATGGGGGAAATGCATAAAAAACCATTGATTCCAACTAACCGTGAAAGCATCAACTAAAAAGGAATTTGGGTCTGGTTTCCAGGATATATATGGGTGATTCTCCATAACCAGTTATATTTGAAGGTTTTATTTGGAAAAAATTATAACTTGACAAAAAGGTCCCTGACTTATGGATACAGTTTGAATATTGAATGAAACACTTTCTGCACAGAGGAACACATATATTTTCTTCATTTTATAAATTCAGAACATAATATATGGAATACTGTTTACAGAGGAATGACCTCCAAGGACAGAGGAATGATCATATGTGAAAATACTCAACAATGTACTACCTACTTATATCAAAATCAACAAACTTTTTGATAGAATTTGAAAAGTCGAACTTAAAAAAACATTCATAAGAATATAACGTACAAATTATTTATCCCAACTTACGAAAATGGCTTCAAGCCAGAGGAAAGACAAGTAAATAAGGGAACAATAGAAAACCTGATCGCTTACTCTAAATTATAACTACTAATAAATGAAAAATGCTAAGTATTAACTGGGATGCATTCAAACCTTTTCGAACACGTCCACATCCTTATGGAATTTATAATATGTTTTATTTCCTTTGACAAAAATATTCGGTGGTGGTAGAATTGCAAGTATCTGATCATAACCGACAAAGGACGTATCATTATCATTAGCTCTAAATGCTTGCATATTCTGGAACTTGCACACCTTCAAAAACATCACCAAAACTTCGTCATCATCAAGTACGTTTTGGACAACTGCTGCATAACGATAACCTGTTAGTTTTGTTTTATACTCAACAAGCACATAAGTATCTTTTATAATGTTACTTGGCACCAAATCTTGTTGATATATTTTTGAGCTTGGGCCGGCTTCATCATCAGAGTAGACGTCATTGTAATGAATTCTTTGCATCTTCTTTTTATGACAAACAAGGTTACTTAAGGGCAAATCATCATCAGAGTCGCTGCTAACTTCTGGCTCTATCTGGGTGTATCCATTGTCTTCATCAGAGTAATCTAAGATTCCACAAAAATTACTCGTACTTTGAACATCAAATAAGCTCAACCTGAAAAATCTTAACAGTCCTGCAGTGTAATCCTCAACTTTGACTTGATGCACCTGCATTGTGCCGACAAAAGGCTTTATGCTGTCCTTCTTGATTAAATCACTGATTTTATTTATATCTGCATCGTCAATTGAAAAGTAGGTTATGTTTTTGATATTATTCTGCAGACTATTAAGAAGGATTTCATATGAACATATCTTTTCCTTCAGCCACAAGCCTATCAGCGGTTCGCTTTGTGACTCCACCAACACCATCTGGAGCACCCTTGCCGTGTCCAGACTCCCAATAATTCAAAGAGCACTCCTTGATTTTTGGATATAAATGGTGGAGTTTATTCGCCAGGAAATAAAACATAGTTTTATTCCGATACTGCGTGGCAGGGCTATCGCTGACAAAGATAAGTGTATCTGCAACATGAACTTCTGAAATGTATGACAAGATCGGTTGAAGGTGTGCCCAGATTGCTGATACATCATGCTTCAGACTCTGGGACAGTGTGCAAAATGACTTCGAGTGAACAATGCCATTGGGCTTGAAATAGATAACTACAGTATGGAGGCAAATCTGTTGGCGCGAACCACCAAAGTGAAATGCTTGAGTTTCCTCCGCATGTTTTAATGAATAGTTCTCGCTAAAATCCACGTGGATCATGACTTCATTCGGCATCAAACTTTCCTTTTTCTTAGAAATTTAGTTATACTGATGCAGAGATCTACCTTTATGTTTCAAGAAGTTTATAATTGATCCTTTAAACTCAAAAATCATTTCGTTCAAAGGCATGATAAGCTTTTGCTTGATGGTTTTAGTAATACTCTTTTGCTTCTGGTACTTATCAAAATATGACTCTTTTCTCGTAGTCCATTTGAAAAAATGTCCGACTTCAGTGCTTTGGTATGGTGTATAAGAAATCGTATTATCTTTGCATTTTAGGCATTCGCGAAGTAAACATTTTTCAGTTTTTTGTGCACAACAAAATGTTCTGGTGACCTCGGAAACATTACCTTCTGTAAGGACTTTCATCCTATTTAAAGCTTGCACTAATAAAGCCATATTAAAGCAACATGTGCATCCACACGTGTCGCGAGATGTTACTTTTCGTGGGACAATCCAAAATGGTCGATTCTTACACCAAAATGAGTAACTAACTGGCATATCAGGATAACGAATAGAAAACTCTTTATGCAAATTACGCATTGTGTTACATAGATATCGCTTTTGTTTTATCACCTTGTTTCTCTTGCAGTAGTCTCTTTTTCCTGGACATAGTTTGCTATGAAGATCATTGTCTAAAAACCTCCAAATTGCATTAATTTTCTGGGGATCAGATCGCCTCTTTGTAGAGTACTGTAAAATATCATTTTCTTTACCGTCTAAAATATTGCTCCCATGCAGAAGGGCTTATACACATTTTTTTACACGATATTTTTTTACTATCTCTCCACTTACAACATTTCTAAAGATTTGCTTTTGCTTCGTGCTATTTATCTTTTCATAATTTTGTTTTAATTGGTCGGACATTACTTCAGCAAAAAGCAATTTTTTTTCGACTATTTTTTTATCTTCATCCAGTATTTGTATGGCCCTGCCTCTGGGTGAGGATGGATCATTTTTATTTAATTTTATGTTTTTCAGCCTATGATACCTTTGCTTATATTTTTGTACTTTAAGCTGCAGCTTCTTGATTAATTCGTGTTTGTATTTGTTTTCACGGCTTCTCCTTTTATTTGTTGCGTACCTTCTTTTTCCCGAAACCCTTTGGTGATTTTCAGGCGTAGTAGGTAGACTTTCTCGTTCTTCTTCTGACAACGGTGGCGTGTCTTCATGCATTCTACGTACTAGACGTTCATTTTCCATTCTTATCTGTCTTTTCTTGTTTCTGTACTTCTGAGAATATTCTCTCCATTGTTTTCGTTTTCTTCTGTCCCTTTCACTTAGGTCTTCAATGGGTTTTATGACTTCTTTTTCCTTTTTTCTCAAGTATTGGGCGATTTCCTTTTGCCTGAGTTGCTCTCTTCCGACAGGATCCTGTTTTAAGCGGTAATACCTCCTTCTTTCTGCTTCCCGTTTTTGTCTAAGCCTTTCCTCTTTTGTTTGTGGAGTTGTTTGCCTAGTCCTAGCCATTTTTTGTACCTATAAAGTTCAATCGCTGGTTACTTATCAATTTTATCAAGACACAATCATTCCTCTGCTCTCACCGTCATTCCTCTGGGCTCTTGAGAGCCAGAGGAATGACGGTTCCGCTAAACTTGCACCGATTGGTAGCATAGATACATAATATAACCTCACTTTCTACACAATTTTGTAACGATATTAGAAACAGACGTGTAAGCGATAAGAATAAATGCGACAAATATATATTTATATGATAAATCACTTACCAGTGGACTGATTAGTCGTTTGTGACACTTGATTTTTTTGCTAGGATTGTACTAAAACCTACAAATGGGAATCAATATTCGCGTCAAAACGTCATAAAAGTGCAACTAAGATGTCTTCCGCTAATATTATCAGTGGAAATAGACATGTACTGCCATCTTTGAGTGAACAGTTGAACAAACCGCTTGTTACAGAGGACTGATCTGAAAGTATGGTAACAAAGAAAATGCATTTGATACAAAACATATTTTTTCTTTTTTTATTTCACGGGCCCAGTTTTCATGCTGTAGATGATGTGTTCTTAGCAAGGTAAAGTATTCTCAACGTTATTTAGAAAATAGATCTTGTTTGAATGTGTTAAACATAGAAAATATGCCTGGTAACAGCCAGAGGATATGACTTCTCAGTCATAAAACAATAAAAAAAAAATTATAATTTCAGTTTTAAAGAAAAATTTTTTTGTGCTTTGATATTTTCTATCTGTAAGATCCCAGTTTCAACAGTGATCGCTTATTATTCTTAACGTGTCATTATTTTATCAACAGAAAGAAACAAAAAGATCTATCTCCGGCGTTCCAAAACGTTTGCAAATAATGTCAAACGAGCTATTTGACAGTTCATACTCTGTCTCTACAGCCAAGGAACGAGATTCTCTATCAGCATTCGTATTAATGTATGAGGTGAAAATATATAAACCTCTAAGTTCGCATCAGTCCCAAATCCATGTTGTAATTTCATTGAGCTTCTTATATTTTACACCCCCCATTCGATTTATGTAAGAAACAGCAGTACTATTATCTACTCTTAACAGTATATAACAGTCCTTTTGGTTTTTTGTAAAACACTTTAACACATTAAGAACGGCCAATAATTCAAGTATATTTATGTGATATGCCCTTTCTTTTGTAGACCACAACCCATGAACTTTCTCTTTATTACAATAACCGCCCCAGCCAGATTTTGATGCATCGCAAAACATTTCAAATAAATATGGTTCTTGTTTTATATTTAATTGTGATTGCCAAATTGTATTTTGCCACCAAGTAATTATGGGTTTAAGGGTTTGTGGTATTTGCATCGTTTTGTCGTAACAACTTCTATTTTTCAGGGCAAGGAACTTTGATCTTTCTAAATTTTTCGTATGTTTCCAACCATATTTTACTGCCGGACAGGCTGATACAAGAACTCCCACAAACTTAGCAAATGCTCTAATTGTACAATGAGTTTTATGAGACATTTTTTGTGCCAAATCAAAAAATTTTTGTTTTCTTTCCTTTGTTAACGAAAATATTCGTTTTTCCGAATTATATAAAAAACCTAAGAATGTGCATTCTTTTTTAGGGATCAAAGAGCTCTTTTCATAATTTATTAAGAAACCTAATGAAGTTAAAATATTTTGAATTAAATCTGTATTTTACTTACATTCTGTTGAGGAGTCTCCTAGTATAAGTATTTCGTCCACAAAAAAGGTGCAGTACATAGACCAAATGGGATGCATCTAAACTCGTATCTTTGACTGTCAAACAAAAACCTCAAATATTTCCGGTACTTCTTATTAACGGATATCAAAAAGTAAGCGTCTTTAAGGTCAATTGTAGTCATATAGCAATCTTTTTGTATTATTTTTAAGGCAGATCTATAATCCTCTAGTTTAAAATGGGGCGGAGTTAAAAAGGTATTTAGCTTTTTAAGGTTCAGGATGAATCTAAATGATCCATTGGGTTTTCTTGCTAAAAAGTAGGAAGAAATGAATTCTCCTCTTATACGTCTAGATTTTTCTATCGCTCCAATTTTTAACAGAGTTTTAATTTGATCCTGATACAACTTCCCCTCTTTTTAATGATTCTCTTTTTAAAGAAATATTTTTGTTTGCGAGTCTTTCTGACGGGTATTTTGTATCCGTTTAACCACTTTAAAACTACAGGATTAGTTGTAAACTGCTTCCATACACTAACAAAAAATCTAAGCCGTCCTGCATACTCATTACTCACGTTCATCTGCGTTTTCTGTATTGGGACTTGTAGTGGCATGGTGTCCGATATTGCTTCTTCTGGCTCTCCATCTGTTTCTCCCCCCCTTTCTTCAGTCTCAATGACTGGAGGGGCGATGGAAGTTTTTTGTATAAAACTTCTTTTCCCGTGAAGGACCTGCCCGGTATCCTTTAAAGGTGCTAGTTGAATAAGTAACCTTGGGCTTAGCTATTTTTAGTTGTTTACTTGAACGTTGGATCTCCTGCTGGTTCTACAGCCTTTCCGGGAAGTCTTCCCCATACAACAGGGAATCTATTTTAGACTCTTCAACAATCTTCTTCAACGCTGGATTTAAACTTGGTCCAATTAAGAACCGCCGGTGTAGAGAAATGGTATGATGCATATCAACAAATAATTTTCCAGCAATCATCAAATTGTCCACAAGGGAATTAGTGTTTTCTGATGGTTTAGAAAACATACTATCTAAGGGGACAGCCAGTGCGCTTAAAGCGCTGCCTAACTGGTCTTGTAATTTACTTAAAAAGCTATCTGTCTTTTTAAGTGCCTCATTTTCTAGTGCCTCCATGATCTCTCCATTAACTGAAGGTGCTAGTAGAGTTTTGCAATTTTTTATTATAGGATACCTCTTCAATATTTGATTCCTATTTTCTCGATCGATGCCCTTAGTTAAGATTTCTTTCCACAAACAAGCGATTCCTTCATGAATTTCTGGCCCTTCATTGCTGTCTTATGCTCTATTAAGCAGTAGTAGATGTATAGGGGCGATATCTGAAGTGGGCATTTGACTGGCATCCTGTTGCACGTTTTGGTCTATGGGAGATAGCGCTGGCGCGAACTCATTCATTTCTACTTCCGACTCGCTGTCTGATGTTTTTTCTTGTGAGCCAGAGGTATCAGAACCTAGGGTAGAAATATATCCCTGTATTATTAATAAATCAATCAAATTCAACACCCGTAATATTATCGGATATCTCTCTGTTGTTAGCGGCAGCGGCAACATCGCTTATTCAGCGAAAAAATCTATGTCTTCGACGAATAGCCTAAAGATCTTTCCTAAACAGACTTGGATGTATAATTTATCTTTGTGGATCTATAAGGCCATTTCCAGGAAGGGCGAATTCGCCGCGATTCTCTCGCGCGTGTTTCGCGCTACCGTTGCGTCCACACATAGCGTACCAACGCGCAAGCATTCAGGGAGGAATTCAGTACGAAACATGGAGTTGAACGAAGCGGTCTCGTTGTGGTTAGCTTACCGTCGCTGGAAGAGACAGAAATGGAGGGAAAATATAATGTATTTAGTACATCCAATTCTTCATGATAGAATGACCCATAGTAGGGTAGGTGGGGGCAAATATCCGCATTTTAGCATTTGTAGTTGCTTGTGACGCATTCGTCTATAACACGAACTTCAAACTTGTTGACATGTTAGAACTATTAATACTCTTGACTTGTAACATGAATCAAATGCAAAATATACGGATGTATGTTTGTGAAAAAGTGTCATACCAAAACATGATGATCCGGACGTTTGCCCCTTGGAAGGGGGTAAAAATCCGCATTCAGGACTTTTGCCCCTTTCAGAAAGTACCTCCAAAAAATGAAAACTGCATGTCACATAACTGAAGAATATATTTCCAGAAAAACATAGTATTTTATAAAATACAAAAGAAATAATATTTATAACAAAACAAAGTTGCTCAAGTCTGTTGAAAACGTAACCGAATCCTTGAACCTGGCGGAACTGCCTGTCTGTGGCATGGGGAGTCTACTTACTATGTCACACTTATTGACAAAGAATTCTTCAGTAGTTTCAATGAATCTCTGTGTATCGGACGCTTTTTTGAAATACCTTCCGCTACAACCATCTTCCATCACTTCAATAATCCGCATCACGTAATGGCGAAATGATTTTTTGTTTTTTCCGTATACTTTGACAACGACAAACTGTCCTGGGGTAAATTCACGGACTGTTTCATCATCACTGGTTGAAAGATTCAAATCGCTACTACTATCGTGAAGGGAAAGTCCTGATTCGGATTCCGATGAGGTCTCGCTATTTTTTCTTGTGAGATTTTGTTTTTCTTTGAACACGTTTCTTTTTACTTTTTTATCCCTTTTAATCTTCGCTTTTCTTTCCTTTTCTTCCATTTTTCTTTTCTTTTCTTGCTCTATATTTTCTAATTCCTCTTTGTTTGGAGTGGAAGTGAGTAAAGTAGATTTGAGTCCTTTTCTCGTCCGCTTTCTCTTTTTAGAAATTATAGGGAGAGGAATAATATCAGAAGGTAGCACAACACTACCTTCACAGTGTGAGGAGCACGATGCTTCCGACAAAATTAGGGAGTTGTCTGGTACATTATTTTTCTTTTCATTAGATTCGAGCATTATTGCTCCACTATTGCCATTTCCACTATTTATCTCTCCTCTATTGCTCTCTCCACTACTGCCCTCTCTACTGGTGCCCTCCTCACCTATGCCCTCTGCTACATTTCCCCCTTCGTTATCGCCTTCGGGCTTGTTTTCTTCAAATACAATCACTAAATGCATGTCAGGGTCATTTTTGTCCAGGTCGTCTATGTCGTCAATCTCCTGTTCGGTCACAGAAGCTGGAAGAAAGTCTTCTTCAGTGAAAATATTTTCATTGAGTGGGTATATTCCAGTCATCTGAAATCCATTAACGGCTTTTTCAATACTAGCAGTTTTTTCATAGGCCTGCTTGAATAGTCCAGCAACGTGATATTCTGTTACTACTTGTCCAGGATTCGAGGTAGTCCAGTTATCACACAAGTCATCGTAGTAACCTTTAAGTGGCCTGAAAAAACTTCTGTCCAAGGGCTGTGTACGGTGACTACTATGTGGTGGAAGACTGAGCAAGTGTATATTATTATTCTTTGCGTAGGTTATCGCCTGCAGGCTGGTATGAGAAATGTGATTGTCCAGAATCAACAGTATAGGGCTGTCAAAAGTAGGATTTGTGTACTTGCGAAAATGCTCTAAATAATCTACGAATCTTAGTGAATTCATGTATCCTGAGTCCGTTACACCTAAAGCTGAACCACTTGGAGCATCCTTTATCAAAAGAGAGTTTAATCTCTTTCGCGCAAAAATAAAAAATGGTGGAACATAGTGACCCGTTGCACTCATAGAGCATGCCACTGTCACAGTCTTTCCCTGCTCAACAGCTACATTTTTGGCTACTTCTCTTTTTCCAGTGGGAGCCACATGTTTCGGTAATTTACTTGGGACGGTTTGAAATCCACTTTCATCCATGTTGTAAATTCTGTTAGCTGGAAATTTATACTTCTCAAGGACATATTTCAAATTTTCGAAATACTGAGACAATTGCTGCTGGTTGAATCCCATTGTTCTAGCTACGCTAGTTTTTCGAGGGGTACGCAATGAAAGTCGATTCCTTTTCATGAATTGTCTCGTCCAATCTTTACCTGCTAGTCTAGTTTCATTATTAAATGGGTGAGGGATACCATTTCTGTGTGCGAACTGATATGCCAGAAAGCGGAGCGACTTCAAGGTAAGTCCGTAGAAACGTAAGTCCAATGCCTTACAATGGTTCACCATCTGTTGTTCTTGCACTGCAGTAAATACTTTTCGAAACCGCCCTAATGAATTTACGCCACTGCCAGCTTTTATCCTCTTTCGAATAGTTGATTCATCGTAGCCAAGGGCTCTTCCTATTTCCCTAAATGATAGCCCCTTTTCTCTCAACTCTTTAGCCTGTATCAGCACATACTCGGTGAGTGGCTTTAGGTTTTCTTTTTTTCTTATATAGGTCCTGAAAAAAGCGATTTACAGTTTACACTTTTCGGTCAAACGGTTGATTTTTTCATCAACAAAAACGGGGCAAACATCCGCATGGAACGGGAAAATGATCTTAGCGGATCGTTGCCCCATTAGGCATGCGGACTTTTGCCCCATAACGACACTTCAGATTTATCAAGGTTGGTGTGAAAAACATAACCTCAAATTAAGTTTAGTTTTTGGAAACGTGTTGTCGATGATACTAGTCTTTTAAAGCTACTGAAAAAATCTCCAGCAGATGCCTTGAAGACACATAATCCTCACCTCTATATTGAAAAATATTAGATTAAAGCAGAGAAATTCACAACTTACCTCATAATTATCACGTATAACGATGTACAGATCACGTGTTCACGCTGTTGCCACTTCTGCCAGATACCGACCGAGACATGCATCGCTGGGTAGAAAACAATAAGAGAGTTTCTAACTACACTATTGAGGATTTTTACCCCATGCGGACTTTTACCCCCACCTACCCTATGTTTGAAACTTTGTATCCAAAATTAAGACAACATGAGAAGAAATTTTTTAACTACTTTCGTATGTCCGTGAAATCGTTTGATGATTTACTCTTATTAATTGGAGAAGATTTATTGCCACGTGCAAATTATGTTCCGCGCGAGGATGTTGTTTCACCAGAACAGAAACTCGTGATAACTTTAAGGTAAGTAGTGTTTTATTCATAATCTCTTATATTACTAACACAGTCTTTTAAAATAAAAAAATATTCTTACTAATAAAAACGAACTAAATGTAGTATGAGATTAAATATAATAATTAAACAATGTCATGGTTTTGGAAGAGGTTAAGACATTCACTATCCTGAGAATCTATTGATGATGTTGATGGAGAATTTACGTATAATGCTGCCTGTGAAGATCCTGGCACTAAATTAGAATTGCGGCCTTGCCAAGTTGTTACGGGTGGCGTTTCTGGGTCGTATTCTTGAAAAGTAAATTCATTTGGTCTTGTAGGTTGTGCATGGTATCGAACCGGAATTGAAGTTGAAGATGAAGCTGAACTGTTAGAAAAGTACGAATACGAATTGTTTGAATACACAGTTGATTGCGAAGATTGTTGAGCCGCTTGCAAAATTTTCATTGATTCAATTTTTACTGCTATACGATTGGCCTCAGGTACCTTAAGTAATTCTTTGTGTAAAGATAAGCAGAACAGTTTGTCATCATCACCTTCCATTACGCTGGAAAGCAGTGGCTGTTGTTGATTCCTAGAGCTTATATTTTTGTTAATTATGTTCAGGAATTCAGCATCAGCGGCAGTCATTTTCTTTCTTTTAATATTTTGATTCGGCGGCCTCATTATGTCTTCCCTTGCATCTGCTGTAGGCTCTTCGTTACCTGTCTGAGTTTTCTGAGGTGTCTTGAATATTGCTTTCTGTTTTTTTTATTACGTACTGACCTTTCGAGAAACATAAGACGTTGAAAATATATATATATTGAATCTTCGAAGCTCCAGAGCCTGATGGTGCATTCTTTGTTTTTTTCATTTCACGAACAATTGTGTCCTGAAGGCCTTTCCACTTTTTTTGAAGAGTATTACCTGAAATTAACAATTTCACAATAATTTTCAATTTTGTTTCAGGTACTTAGCAACTGGCTGTTATTTTGCTGACTTACATTATGCCTATAGATTAGGAAAATCAACTGTAATTGACAAAGTTCAAAAAACTGTGTATGTTATTTGGAATAAGTTAAAAGATATAGTAATGAAAGAACCTTCGACAGAAGAGTG